GCGCGGTTTAGAAAGATACCCTGAGGGCAGGGAAGTATTTTTGGCTTCATTAACTTCTTTTCCTGGTTACAAAGAATCAGGAGAAAAAGGTTATAAAACACGTTGGTCTATATACTGCATTGGTTTTGCTCCCCGAAATGTCAACCCACAAATGTCCCCCAACCTGCATCTGCAGGGATTCTTAGTCTTTAACTTCCCCGTGCCCGCTGCTCGCCACCGCCAACAGTTTTCCCTCCGATTCGACGGCGGAAGGTCTTTTAACGTAGCTCAGCTTTACCTTTACGTGAGGAGAACCATAGCTTTTTCCCCATGGGCTACTGCAGGTGGGCACATCTAGCGTGACCAAGGCCCTCTTTTTCCAACTTTCCTTCAGGAGCCTTCACTTTCCCGTGAAAAGTAAGCTGCGGGCAGTTTCTGATTGCGTCTTCCGCAGCGTGTACCTTAGAGGGAGTGCTGCGTTAGAGCAGCCGAACAAAGGTCGTGAAGAGGCAGTTTGCAAGGCAGAGGCATCCTGAGAAGCTGCGAAATATAGCTGTGGAAAAGGTTAGACTTTGATTTCTGGGTGTCTGTAGGAATTGGGTTATACCAGAACCTTCTTACCATTGCTGGATTTTAAAATGGTGGCGTGTGCCACTCTGGAGCTCGCTGGGAGGGGGGAAGTTGAGGAAGACAGAGGATGTGGAGCCTAGCAGCTTGCTTTTCTGCAGGATTGTCTGGCAGGAATACGTGGAGCTAAAGTCGGAGCTTGTGGCTGTGACTGCTCCCTTTTGCTCCTTGCTGAAAAGGCAGAGAGCAAGAGTCTGCGCAAGGCAGCGCTGGGGTGCGCGGGCTTCAGGGGAGCGGAGGAGGTGCAGCACCGCCTCGTCCCCAGCGTCCTCCCGCTTCCCACCACCCTTGGTTGACTTCGCTTCGTATAAAACATCAGAAGAGGACAGTTAACCTTCCTGTCATGGCGTGGGTTTTAAGAAGTGAAGAACATTCATTGTGCAAGGACTGAGGTCGAAAAGGAGGTCTTGTTTCCGTCACTAGAAAAAATGTGTTGGAGCCCGAGAACTTTTTTTTTTTAGCGTGAACGTTTAAGTCCAAGACATTTCCCTTCTTTCATCAGGAAGTGAGTGCAGTGTGCATACTGATTATTCCATTATTTGCAAGTCAGAACTGTAAATTGCTGCATTCACTCTGATGCAGCTTACCATCTGAAAGAAGTAATTAAAGCTTTCTTTCTCTTGCTGAAGATTTAAACATGTATTTAAAAATGAGATCATACTGTCACGGTGGTCATAGTTTCTTTATATATTTGTGTGGGGAAGCCTCAGAAGTGGGCGTACGATCTGCTGGTGTGCCGTGATGTATTTCCTTTAATTATACATTTGTTTTGAGAAAGATGGTTATTCCAGGCCTCCGTCTTTCCTCAGTCGCATCCTCACAGTCCCCCTGCAGTGGGAGTTGTGCGTACCTTAGCGTGTAGTTCAGCCATATGGGCTACTTATTTATATCTCATGCGTGAAATAAGCTATTCCAAACAGATAATTTCTGTGCTGGTAATGGAAGATAAATGCAAGCGTGTGTACAGTTCTGTGTCACTAAATGAGGGTATGACGCACCGCCCGTCGCCGTGCTGGGTGAAGCTCTTGTTTTGTCGAGTCCAGACAGCGTGTCAGCCTCTGCCTGTCTGACGTTTCAGACACTCAAGAGCTCAATTAATTTACAGATGGTAATTTGTTTTCAGCTCCTGGAGCTGTGGATGCCTTCTTTACTTGGCCTCTGCTGCGCCGTTCTACCAGAAGCCAGCTCCAGCTGCACAGAGCTCAGTTTTTGTCATTTGTTGGTAGAAATGGCACGTTCTCATCCCTGCATTATCAACGCAGCTGCGCCGTGTTTTCGAAACGCGCCGTAGAGCTTGTGCCATCTTAAAATGGCAGCGTCTTTCCAGCTGCCTGGGTTTTCTCTATACGTAACTTTGGCACAAGGGAAGCAGACTGGCTTTATTTATAAGGAAAATAACAACACAACTTATATAATAGGTGTTCCATCAACACGAATTTTACCTTCTGAAGCTATTTACCTCTTTGGGAGTTATTTCATCTGGCCAGGTTGGTTCTGCCGGGGCACCCAGTCCCGGTGGTGCGGCCGGAGGGACACGTCGCGGGCCGGTTGCCGCAGAGACGCCGGCGTGCCAGTCACCAGGGAAGCATCCCCAGCCCCGTGCACGGACACACGCCCAGCGACCGGCCAAACGGTGACGGCACATGGGCAGGAGAAGGTCAGCCGTGCTCTTAACGAATTCCACCGCATAAACAAACAGTAACTTCTTGTAATTCGTTCTGTTTGCTGCACTTCATGCTTTCCTTTTCGGAGTGTGTCACGGGCCGTAACTAGCACCGGCCCAAATCCCGGCAGCCCCCTGCGAGCCGTGGAGGTACAGAAAATGAGTCACGGTGACTTCGTTCCGGCACGGCCTTCTGCTTTGCTTCTTACTCATTAATTAGCACTCGCTGAGTAACTTCCACGCTGCGGCTCGGCGCCGCTGGGAAGGCGGG